TTTTAAAAATCAATAAAAATTCCAAACAATATAAGGGCCTTTTGGTTTTTTCCTTAAAATTGACTTTATGTATTATATTGACAAAATGGATAATATAAGAGAAATTTTGTTGTTGAGATTAGATTGTATCAAAATTTTATGAAATTGTAAAGAAAAAATTTTAAATAAAATAATTTTATCTAAATATATAATATATATATATATATTTATATTTCATATAAAAATTTAAATATAAATATATATATATATATATATAATAAAAAAAATTTTATATATATATATATATATATATAATAACAAAGTAAGATATATTGAATTATCAAAAAAAAAAATTTGATTTTTTTCTTTTTTAAAAGTAAATATCAATTTTAAATTTTTAAAATTAATAATATTTAAAATCTGATTTAAAATATTAAATTTTTGAATTTTTAATTTCAAGGACCATTATTTTTTGTTTAAAATGAAAATTAAAAATTTAAATTTAATTTTTAAATTAACATTTTAAAATTATTAACAAAATTTCATTTTTTTTCATTAAATTGACTTTTTTTAAATTTTATAACTTTTAAATTTAGAAATTTTAAAAAAAAATAAATACACACATAAATATTTAAAAATAATGTGTTTATAAACACAAAATATTTAAAATATATATATATTATATTATATATATATTTTATTATATATATATATATATATATATAAATTTAATCTTTTATATAAAATATGATTAATATTGTTTTGAAAATTATAATAAATAATTTTTTTGGTTTCTTCATGAAAATCAACTAACATGGAATCTGCCTTTCACAAATTTTTAACTTATGTTTTAAAAACTTTTTAAATAATAATTTTTAAAATCAAAAAAATTGTAAATAACTAACCAAATAAATTATTTTTTTGAATTAAATGTCTCATTTTTTTTCAAACCTCTTAAATTCCAAGAATAGCAATAAAATAAGCTTTTTTTTTTTCTTTTATAGGAAAATTTTTGAAGTTTTTTTATTCAGAATAATCTTAACTATTATATTATTTTTTAATTTCTTAAAATACATGAAATTAATGGAAAATGGCTTTCTATTTTTAAACATTGTAAACATTTCCAAAATTTTATATATATATACAAAAAAATAATTACTATAAAAATACAATAAAATATTATATACAAAAATCATTTATTTTGATCTTTCTGACCATTTTTTTTCCAATTTTTTCATTTAAACAATATTTGAATTTTCTCTACCTTATTGTTTTTTATTCATAACATACTTATTTTTTAAATAATATAAATTAGCATTTCTACAACCCCACAAAAAGGCTAAAAATAATGGAAAACGTTTATTTTTAAAAAAAAAATTTTAAAATTTCCAAATAAAAAATTGACTTTGAACATGGATTAATAATATCTTTATAAATTTTTTGAAATTTCCTTCAAAAAATTTTATAAAATAAGGGAACAATTTAAACTTTTTATATTTAACAGAAAAATTTTATTTTCAGTGTTTGATTTTTTTTAAACAACCGAAAAATTTATTAATATAATAAGTTTAGAATAAAATTAACTCTTTCTGAAAACTTTTTTTAGTTATTTGTTATGGAACAAAATAAATTTTTTATTAAAATAAATTTTTGACTTAACGATGTTTAAAAATATTTGAATATAAATTTTTTATCAACTGATCTTCTTATGCGTATTTTTTCATTTCTAACAATAAAAATATTTTGTATACCACTGAATCTTATGATTTTAAAACTAACCCTAAATTTCGACGTTAATTTATTAGACAAATTTCGAATCGGACTCTTTTAAATTGAATTAAAATATCAAATATTTTTTAATGGAATTTTTTATTAAAAAGACCTCCAAAATTTTGAGAATAGTGAATATATATATATATATATATATATATATATATATATATATTTAAAGCATAAAAATTAAGATTTTTTTAAAAAAGATCCCATACAAATATTTCTTTGATTAAAAATATAGTAAACATTAAAAAACCATTGCTTAGCATAGAAAATGAACTGAATGTTTGAATATGCATACATTAACCAACTATTTTGAAATACTAATATATTTTCCATGAATAAATTCTTTTAATAAAACTTTTTGAACATTTAATTTCTTGAATGATTAAATGAGGACGTAAAATTCTTGCCTATTGTTTTTAAATTGCCTTAATTTTTTCACGTTCACGAAATTAATCCATTACGTTTACCTGAATTCATCATTGTCCGACCAGTTTCAATAAATTTTTAATTGGCAAAAAAAATTTTTTTGAAACATCCCGGTAATCCCTTTCAACACATATGAAATTTTAATTTAATTGAAGCCAGGGCATATTAATTGAATGTCATAAAAATCATGGATAAAGTAGAAAAACTCAATATGTTTTGTTTTATAACATAAATAGACCAGAAAAATAATTTTTCTTGTAATAACCCCTTTGATGTCAGATTAATTTCCTTTTATAAACGTAACTATAAATATTTTCCCATAAAGTTATTTTTCAAAGAAATATGTATATGACATTTATTTTTTTTTTTTTTTTGTGCCATGTCCTTTCAGGACGTAGGCGATCATGGCTCTCCACCTCCTCTCTATCCCTTGCAGCTCTCAACAAGTTCCTTCCCTCTGCTTCCTCCCCCAGACCACGTTCTGTCATCCACTTGCTTAAACCCGCCAGGTATGTCATGCGTTGTTTTCCCTTTTCTCTCTTTCCCTATATTCGACCCGTGAGTATCAGATTCTCCAGGCCCTCCTTCTTCGTTGTGTGCCCCAGAAACTTCACCTGCCTCTGCCTGATATTAAGTATAATCCTCCTTGTTTACAACCTCTCTAAGACCTCATCGTTGCTCATACGCTCGGTCCATGATATCCTCAGCATCCTTCTGTAGAACCACATCTCCGTCGCCTCGAGTCTCTTCTTCATCTTTGAGGAAATCGTTCAACATTTTCTGCCGTAAAGAAGGAAAGATGTCACGTAACAGCTCAGTATTCTTTCTTTGTTACCAAAGAAATCCTCCTGTCTAGCAATACTCTGCCTAGCTTTTGGAATGCATCCTTGGCCATCCCAATACGTCTACGGATCTCAGTGTCGCATTTACCGTCCTCTGACAGAAGGCTTCCCAGATATTTAAACTTCTACGTCTGCTTGATTCTAGTGTTCCCGACTTTTCAAATCGCATTTCGGACTCATCCTCTTACTGATGTCCACGCATTCTGTCTTCTTGTAGTTTATGCTTAGTCCTTTCTTCTCGCTCTCCTTCGCTAACTTCTGTAGAATTTCTTTTATGTGGCTGCTATCAATACCGTGTCATCTACGTAGAATAGCCTTGGATATCAATCAATGGCACTGTATTAGAGAATGCATTAAATGGTTGACTTATAAAATTCGATATAAAAGAGTTCTACCCATCAAACAGTTAAAGAAACATTGAATTGAGCTAAAGAATATATATCTACACCTAAAGATAAAACTGAAGTCATTAAGCATTGTCGCAAGTCATTACTATACCATAACGAGATATGATGGATCAAGAAGTTTACTATCGGCAATTTTGACAATACTATGGGAGCCTATGATGGGGTCAAAATTGTGCGAATTAGTAGGATGTCTAGTATTAAATAGCCTAAATGAGTTTATTAACCCCTATAAGCATGGTCTATACAGGGATGATGGTTTAATCATCGTCGATATCTGTACTCCCAGAAAAGGAGATATCATCCACAAGAGTTTACACTGCATGTTTAATAATTTCTGATTCAAGTTAGACGTACAAACCAACTTAAAAATAACAAATTATCTAGATGTTGCACTTGTGTAATGGCACAGTTTCTCCGTTTAGGAAAAGTAACCAACAACCCTTCTATATTTATGTAGTTTCTAACTACCCAAAACACATCTTAAAAGAAATCCCCAACGGGATTAGTTTTAAACTATCAGCATGGCACGACGTTGCCCGTGCTTGATTCAAAAATCGTACGACTCATACAACAATCGCTATCACTTGACTTAAAACATTTTTGCCTTTCCTTGCCTTTAAAGGAGTGCCCTTTGCCGTGCTGATGTTGCTACATGCCTTAATTCTTGCCTATTTCACACTGCGAATTTTTTCTAAGCTCTATACAAAAATTAAATCTGTTACGAAAAAAGAACTAAACAAAATGAACACAAAACGATCAGCTTTAAAAAAGGATTCGTAACTGGAAAAACCAAATGAAAAAAAGAATGTTAACAACAAATACTTTTTCACACCCAACCCAGTTCTGCGGAATCAGAATCAACGTTGAGTTTAAGCTAGCGAATGAGCCAATTGCAGTAAAGTGCCATGCAGATTTAAATTTTTCCCACTTGTGAAGAATGGCTATCGATTTTTTTTGCATGCTAGTTTACATTTCAGACCGTGAAATTCTTACGGATCTTTATAGTTAGGTTTATTGGAAAACCACATGTACTGCAGCCATAACAGTAGTTGATGTAGCTGTGGCAAGATAGACTGATATGATTCTTATTACAATATTTTAAGTTGCTAAGCTCAAATAATTAACGATGCGATAATGGCATTTCTACGGCTATTTTACTGTCTTTACTCGCCATGAGCATATAAAAGATTTATCAGAAAATTTAAATAAAAAGACTGTGAAATTCTTACGGATCATTATATTAAGGATTATTAGGAAACCACATGTACTGCAGCCATAACAGTAGTCGATGTAGCTGTGGCAAAATAGACTGATATGATTGTTATTATAATATTTTAAGTTGTTAAGCTCAAATATCTAACGATGCGAAAATGGCATTTCTACGCATATTTTACTGTCTTTAACCGCCATGATCTTATAGAATCATTAACTGAAAAAATATGTAAGATTCATCAGAAAATCTAAATAGGAAAACTGTGAATATTTGGCGAATATTAATTCTGTGTCATCTAAGAAATTCGGAATGCTTGCGACTATTATATACATTACTACCGGCATACGGCCACATTCGTCCGATCACCGAAGTTAAGCAACGTCGGGCTTGGTCAGTACCTAGATGGGTGACCGCATGGGAATACCTCGTGCTGTAAGATTGGATATGCGGGTGGTGTAATATCTACGGTTCGGAGTTGTTAATCGGGGTGCCGAGTTCCAATTCCAGTTGGGTTCGTTAAATTGACATACGCGCAAATACCCTAGGAAAGATATGAATACCACCTATTGTCCCTCAATCTGTGTGTTAATATGTAAGACGTTCATCGCTAAACCATTTATTATTTCCAAAAATAAAATAAAATTCTTTACAAAATATTTAGATGTCAACATTAAATAATTTGCAAATGGTTAATATGCCAATAAAAAAAAAACAAGAACCCCCCCGCCAAAAACAAAACAAAACAACTATACTGCTACTAGGTGGGAAGCACATGAAAAATATTCAGATATTAAAATTATAAACACATGACCCAGTGGATAAACGTGTTGTTTGAATCCAGTGACTTAAACAAGGAGTTTTGGGTTCAATACCTGGCAACAGCAGAGGCGAAAAAACATCTTGCAGAATTGAGATACTAAAGAGAGTTAACAGATAACTAGGCATCCAGAAGTGGCATGACACGTGGTACTATAATAATCTATCTCGGTAGCTGAAGTAAAGGGCAAGGCTCGAAATTCTAATCAGCTGAAGATGACAGGAGCGTATATCTACCGAAACGTTTTGAATATGGCAATGAAGATGAGGACAAGGGCCTCGAACAAAAATAAAAATATTTTTTTTAATTATATTCATCTCAGAAATATAGACAGATATAGAAGAAGGCCGAAAAAAGGACATCGGTCTAAACAGTCGTGAATATGGCAAAAAGATATGAGGACAACAGTCCTAACAATGTAAATAGTGTAAATAATTATAATACCTCATCTCAGAAATATAGACAGATATAGAAGAAATTTAAAGTGTAAAACGAAAAAACATGAAACAACATTTTCGAAACAGAAAAAAAATTTAAATAATGACAGCGGCATGTGTTTTGGATAATTTTAGCTATCAGTTTCCTTTTTAAAAAGAATTCCCTTGAGGACATGAAAATCAATGGCTTTATTTTTGAATCACTTTATAGCTCTATGCAATATTTCAATAAGAAAAAACATATTTGACCTCCCTAGCAACTCCCCCCCACGCTTCTTTTAAATTTATTTTTTTTCTAAAGTCGTCAGGTAGATGATTCGATTCTTACTTCTGTCCCAATTGCTTTCAATGTGCCCTGTGAGCGTCAAATTTTCCAAACCCTCTTTTCTTATTATGCGTCCTAGAAACTTCAACTCTTTCTAGTTCAAAGAACAAATGTACTTTCCGTTCCACTTTTCCAACAAACTTCCTCATTGTTCACATGTCCCGCTTATGACACTTTTGCTTCAAGGCCGGAGCGTGCAACGGTTTAAACGAAAGGAACCAATATGGCAACGAAGATGAGGACAACAATCCGAATAATGTAAATAGTGTAAATAATTACAAGACCTCATCTCAGAAATATAGACAGATATAGAAGACCTCCGGAATTGATTGTCGGTTCTAAACGTCGTGAATATGGCAAATCTTTTGAGGAAAATATTTCCGAACAATGTAAATATTTAAAAATAATTAATATTAAGTATGAATTATCGCAGAAATATTTATTTAATTGTTTTTTTTTCCTCTTCTTGTAATAAACATATTTTTATTTCATTTTGAATGAATATCCGCGTTGTAATGAATCGTCAAATGAATTTTGAACAGACTTTTATCTTTATTTTATTTTTGCTGAAGTTATTTTATTTTTGTCGACAATGTAATCTTGGCCGTCGAAACGCAAATATCCATATTCCCGCCACCAATTGATTGGCGCACGTACATATGAGAGTGCATAAATTTGATGCTATCTGGGTGCAGGAAGTGTCGGTGTAATTCTCAACTATAGTCAATTACTTGTTGTTGTTGTTGTTTTTTTAATCATTATGTTATAAGATTTTTTTTTTTAATCTGATGATTATAAATATACGCATATGTCCGCTTATTAATTTCTTGAACAGATTGCAATATTTTTGTTTTGTTGATTTTCACGCCTTCAGAACGAAGTGACAACAGAAAATATTATTAGTCCTATAAATTGACAGTTTGAATAACAAGTGAGAAATATTATTGAGAAAAGATTATCGCAGGGTTGGGTTTATTAATGCTAGTCGATCGGATAGTTACCTAGTGGGTAAAAGTGTTTGTTTGGGAGTTTACTGATAAAGTGGTTGTGAGTACAATCCCTGGTTTTTTTATTTGTTCTTTGAAAAGGGAAAGAGGCGAGCTTCTAAAATAAACAGTACTAATTAAAATAAGAACTAGACGAGATATCCCTAGATAGGGGTTTTCTAAGCTAAGATCGATTAGTACTCACCCAGTGAGGATCGTACTCACTACTCAGTCGTAATTGTTCTAGCGGGACAAGCTCGCTAACCATTACACCATGTCAAGATGCCCAGTCAGGATTTTCTAAGTATAGCTTAGATATGACACAAAATGTATGAGTAACTCGAGTATTACACAATTAACCATGTCTAGGTATCCTATAGGGATTCTCCAAGCATACAGGACCGAAAGTAATGGGCACTCAGTGAGGTCAAACTCATTATTCAGTCGTAATTGAGATAAGCTTGCTAACCATTACACCACGCCGACGTGCCCATATATCCCCAAGATATGAACATAGAATAAAAACAGTCTATCTCCTTAGATTGAATAAAGGGTTTTCCAAGCCTTTAGCTCTATAAGCGCGCGTGGGGCTTTGAAAATATATTCACGCCATGGTGGATACATAGGTTTGACTTTCTTAAGCAATGGGCTGACGTTTAAGAGAAAATGGAAACAAAAAGGACACTTATATATCGGGTCAGAAGGAGTTAGTTGAAATAACTAGGAGACAAAATGAGGAAAGAAAACTTAGAAAATTTGACACTCACAGGGCATATCTAAGCAAGAGGAAAACAGCGCACAACACAGCTTGTGTAAATGTTTCTCAGATTTGGGATTCGGTAAGCTAGTCACGCCTAGGCACGGTTGTTTAGAGTACCATTTGTACCCTGTCTTTTTAAATAAATTACAAGCTTATGCCTGTTATTTCTGGTTACTTTTACCATAATCATTTCATATTTACGAATATTTTTCCGTATATTTAATTGTAATATACGGAGAAATATTCGTGAGTATGAATTGATTATGGCTAAAAAAAAATGAAAACATAATGTTTGAAATTTATTCAATCAGACATGCCTAAAAGAAAATTTGCTGCCAAGTAAACACACACACACACACACAAAACACAAACACACACACACACACACATATATATATATATATATATATATATATATATATATATATATATATATATATATATGAGAGGAAAGTGTTTAGCATGAGGTTTTATTTAAATATCGATATGGGCACCAGATTTCGCTACCAGCTTCTTCGGTGGGGCCCAGGGATCGTGTCATTGATTTTTCCCAGGAACTCTTGTAGTATGGAAGACATAGCTTCTTGTATCCAGCCTTCACCTTCTTACAAAATTCTGATTTTTTGTAGTAGACTTTCTTCTTTAACCAATGTCAAAGAAAAAAGTCAGGACTCTTGGATTTAAAACATACATAAAATAGGGAGTTCCTTTTCAATCAATAATATATATATATATATATATATATATATATATATATATATATATATAATTAATTCATCGAGTCTGATAGAAACCTCAACAGAATGCAGAAAGCACTGGACGTTTCGTCCTATATTTGGGACTCATCAGCAGTGCGCATCCACTACTTGAGAATTGAAACCCTGACAATTAGCGGCGCTAAGTTGAGTCTGATTTGGAATTCCAAGTCATCACTAAAGCCCATTTGGAACAGTTGGTCTGATGTTCGCTTGACAACCTAATGTCAGGGTTTCAATTTTCGGTAGTGGATTGCTGCTGATGAGTCCCAGATATAGTTAAACGGCAAAACCAGTACTTTCTTTGCATTCTGTTGAGGTTTCTATCAGACTCGATGAATTAATTAAATATAATTATCAAATCTTCCTAATTAATATATATATATATATATATATATATATATATATATATATATATATATATATATATATATATATACTAGATGTCTCCTGTCGAATTCGACGTATGAAGGTCAAGTAGGAAACTGACAAAAATAACACCAGCACATGAGATTTGATTATAGTGGTGAGGGTTTCGTGCAGGACCATCCACACTTTTTTTCTACTTGAATACAGAGACCTGATGCACTACGTACCACAAGGTCCCCAAACGACACTCCGTAGGTTTTGATTTTCAATCATTGTTTTTTTTTCTTTAGACCAGTTGCCATCCAAAGCTCCCATTTAAAACCCAGTGTGTCCTGCTTAAAACCCATAGCTGGAGGGAGAAGAAGAGGATTCATACCTTTCCCAAGGGTATTAGCACGTAAGTGAATTATGATGGATTCGACTGAGAATTCGAACTTCTTTTCGCCGATTCCTCAATCCAATCAAAAAACTATGCATTACTCGATATATATATATATATTTAATCTCCTGGGTAGACTGTTCTCGTTCCACTAAGGGATAATTCTTATTGTTAAGAATTATTTTATTTAATAAATTTTCAGTTATTGATTGTCAGTTTCCACTGCCGCGAACTCACAACCACTACATGACCAAATTCGCAAACCAACGCCATTGACCATTTCACACTTTGCTGAAATAAACTTAGAGACTTAAATGTAACCTTTTTGCATATTAAGCTGCCAATTATGCTGCTGGCTGTCATGTTTTTTCTTCTTGCTTCCCATGTTTCAGGATTGTTACTAATTGTTTTGACTGCTGCTATATTGAATATTTGCTGTAGTTCTCTCTTTTTTTTTTTAGTAACGCTTTATCATATTGTATTTATTTCTATGCTAGGTTTCCGTCCTGGGTTAGACGATAAACTACGTCCAGCAGCAAGGCCTTTGATTAGGAGGTTTTGAAGAATTTTTAATTGCTGGTGTTTCCAGGTTCACCGTGACCCGGTGT